ATATATATATATATATATATATATGTATACACACACATTTTGTCTGCATTTGCAAAAGTTGAAAAAAAATCTGAAATGCTATTGGTAAGGTAATAATGACATGTTGAAATGCGTTTCTTCTGTGTTTTCATTAGCAATTTTTTAGTCTGTAGTAGTTGATACGTACCATATTTAACTCATTCTGATTACTTTCTCTAACACCCTGCTTACTTCCTTTGTTGTGTTTTGGAGGATTAGCAAATCTCTTTTGAGGGTTAGCGTTTTCTTTTAAAATAACAAGATCTTCTTGGACTGGTGATGATTGATTTTCTGGCACTAGAATCTGTTCAATTCAGAATACAGAAAAAAACTAGTTTAAAAACTGCAAAACTGTATGAACTTCTCAAAAATCAGTTTATGTTTTAATAAAGATCCTACTCATGTTACATTTACTAATTTACTGTTTTATCCTTTTCTAAGCATTTTCTAATTTTTACAAAGCAACCCAACAAAACAATCACTTTTTGTAAACAAGCTTTGCCATTCACTAGTGGAAGAACTCAGTCCTAATTTTTAAAGTGCTCAAATTTGTATTAACTCTCTACTTTCTATACTGAAATTATCACTAACAAAAATGTTTTCAGAACTACATTGAGAACAGTTGTTTTTCAGACATTCACTGCTAGACTGTTATTTTGTGCTGAACTTGGCCCAATGATTAAAAATCAAGTAAGTCAGAGACATACCTGTGATCCACTTGCATCAAAAAGTATATGAATAGATGTTTTGGCCACTGAAATACCTTGTTTTCTGGTAAATTCCTAAAATTAATTCAAAATGATGTCATTCTCTGTTTAATGATATCATTTCCTCTTTTCTTCCACAATTGCCAATTAGCCCAAGTTATTATTTTGCATATATAAATACCTACCTGAGAAAAGTTTGTTTTGACCTAATCAGTCTCCTTAGTTTTCCCTCTATACAAAAGTTGCTTATATATGTATCCTGTTACTGACATTTTAACTTCCCATTACATAGCTCTGGTTGGCCTGAAACTCACTGTGTAGACTAGGCTTGCCTTGAATTCACCAGAGGTCCACCTGCTTCTGCTTCTTGAGTACAGGGATTAAAGGTATGTGCCACCAGGCTGGAGAGATGGCTCAGTGGTTAGGAGCACCGACCATTTTTGCAGAGGACCCTGGTTTGATTCCCAGTATCTACAATACCTACATGGTGGCTAACAACCGTCCATAACTACAGTCCAGGGAATCTGACGTCCTCTTCTGACCTCCACAGGCATTGCATGACATGGGTGCACTTACATACATGCAGGCAATACACTCATACACATAAAAAAATTTTAAAAAGGTGTGTGGCACCATGCACAGCCTAATAAACGTTTTACACTGTCCAAACCTGCTGGCAGACTACTTCTGCACGATGTCCCATAGACTGTCGCCGTACTCTCCCTAACAGCATTTGCCCTGCCGGTCTTCCACAGTGCTGTTCTCTATAGTTCACTTCAAGCTCCCTCCCCATATCAGGCCTTACAGTCAAACCATCTCTTAACAGACGTTCTCCAGTTTATGTAATTCATTCTCCACAGACCGATTATGTACTTATGATTTCTTACGTCTCAAAATGCTTAGTATCTTGAAACAATTAGCTTAACAAGCTAAGAGCTACTCCACATTACAGTTTACTTCCTTGTATGCCTGTATGTGCATGCGAATGTGCCACTGTGCACAAGATGTCAGAACTTGTGAGGTCAGTTCTCGCTCTTCACCGTGTGTCCCAGGGATGGAACGCTGGTTGTCAGTCTTGGTTGCAAGTGCTTGTACCAACCTAGCATCTCACCAGCACTTCCTAGTACAACTTACATTCTATGTCATTCTAAGAATTTTAAATAGGAAAAAAGTAATGAAATAGGCCTCAACTGAGGTTCCAAAATCATGGACATATTGTTTATCAAAGATTTTAAAAACTTACCTTGTACTTATTTTCACCAAAAACTTTCTTAGTAACACTGGTGATTTCTAATGATGCATCAAAATACAAAAACAATTCTTTCCCTTCTCTTTTACCAATTCTTACTATATTTTTCATAATTACAGTCAGTAGCTTCTTTGATTCTCTCACTGTACACAAACAAATAACATTAATTAATGACAAATAGCATAACAGTAATTCCTATACTAGTCTGCAAGTATACTGTAAGCAAAAACATACCGCAAATTAAGTAAATCAAGATCCAAACTTTGATATTGTTTAAATTAATAAATTCTAGTTATAACTATGCAAGCAAGTCAGTCACTTTATGTTTCAATGTCCTAACCTATAAATCACAGAATAATTCTATAACTATTGAGTTGGAGCCTGGAATAGGTTCTGGGCCTTAACAAATTCTTAAAATATTCCTTGAGGCTATCTGAGAAACCTAATTTCTTAATTTTCAAAAGAGAAAATATTAATTCATATTTTTAGCCATAATCATACATCCAAAGAGCACTGTTAAATAACTGACAGTTAAACAATAACATTTCATAAACTCAATAAGGATGGTAAGAGGCGAGAAGGATGAAGTCCTTATTCTCAATGAACTTATCCAATAAAAATAACATTTTTGTTATTTTAAGTAATTTCCAGTAAATAAAAGATATTCATACTCCATACCCCAAAGAAGTCACCAGCAAACTACCTGGCACCTAATTAATTTCCTGTATTATAAAATAAATGCTAAACACCAAGAGCTACTATGCTCCTGCCTACCTCTGGTGAGGATTCTACTGTTGGCTGAGAAGCCTCTATTCCTGCCCTCTATAGTGTATTTTTGGGCAAAAAGGAAGTAGACCACACAAAATAGGGAATTTTATTTCTACATCTGAAAACATTCTACAGGGTTCTGAAAATATTCTCCATGATCTGCCCAGAAAGGGAAATGTCCCCATTAGGTCTAAAATTTTCTATTTCTTACAAGGAAGTGGGAATACAGTGTGTGGTTTGAGTGAGAACATTCCCCACAGGCTCCAAGTATTTGGGCATTTTGTCCCCAGCTGGTGGTACTGTTGGGGAGGCTTTAGGTGTGGCCATGCTGCAGGAAGTACATCCCTGGGATGGGCTTTGAGAATTCTTAAGCTTTGTCAGGTTTCCAGTCTCTCTGTGCTTTCTGTGCCTACTTGAAGATATGACTGATTGGCTTTCTGCTCTAGCCACTGTCCGTCACCATGCCTCCCTGCCATTAGGGACTCTTACCCCTTTGGAACTGTAAGCCAAACAAACTCTTCTTTTTATAAATTCCCTTGGTCATGGTGTTTTATCAGAGCAACAGAAAAGTAACCAATATAGAAGGATTACCCAGATAGAAAATGCTTTGCTTTTGCACATATATAGCATTTTCGACAGTAATGGTCATTGATGGCATTAAACATTAACTGGTCAGGTGTGATAGTGAATGCCTTTAATTCCAACATTCAGGAGGCAGACGCAGGCAGATCTTTGTGATTTGGAGGCCAGCCTAGTGTACACAGAGAGTTTCAGGTCAGTTGGAGCTACATAATGAGATACTGTCTCAAACAAAACAAAACAAAAAAGATATTAACTAATTTGATGTACTGCTAAGTTTCTCACTAATACAGTACACAATTAGTAATATGAAAATATCATGTGAGTTCAACATTAACATATTTTTACATTTTAGAGATGAAAATTTAGATGGCTTTGAAGATACGATTTCATGTTTTGATGAAAAACATTAATTCATTTATAATCCTTATGTTGTTTGCTGAATGCTTCATTTTTTGATATCCATTTCATCTTTTTCTGTAGCTTGCCATGAATATATATTAAATGCATTATTTTCCACCATGGCTTGTATATAGACAGTACTAGAATTACTTTAATAATTTTGGTGAAATTTTTGTGTAAAGACTCACGTACATATGTTGTGACCACCTATTCAATAATTTATTGTTTATTTTATTGATTATTTTGTTGAAATTTCTGGCTCTTTGTCTGACTTCCTGGACTATGTATCATAATTTGCTTTACTTTTTAATTAGTTAGCAATATTACTAAGATTCAAAAAAACTTTGGTTTCTTGCTCATATATCAAAATTCCAGACTTTTAGCACTTACCAAGCTATTGTCATGGGATTCCAGTGTACATAAATACAAAAATGTGCCTTATATTGCAGAATTTAAAATATTTATTTAAAATAATTTTTAATTTTTTTTATTTTATGTGTATGAGTGCTTTGCGTGATGTGTGTAAGTCCACCAAGAGTGTGAAATGCCTGTGGAGGTCAGAAGAGGGTGTTGGGTCCCCTAGAACTAGAGTTAAGGATGGTTGTTAGCTGCCATATGGGTGCTGGGAATCAAACCCCGGTCCTCTGAAAGAACATAAGTATTCTTAACTGCTGAGCCATCTCTTCAGCCCCTAAAATAATTTTTTAATCCATATATAAATAACCTGGGGTTTTTTTTGAGTGTCCTCAGGAATCACTTTATCATGTTAATCAAACATGGAACAAAGAGGATGAATTCAAATACAAAATACATTAAGTGGTAGAAATGAAAGAACATGGAAAGTGGTCAGTTAGTGGGGAGGAAAAGTCAAGAAAGGCTTCTAGGGCTGGCTTCCAGGAAAAGGATGCTTTCCACTAAGCCCAAAGACCTGAGTTCAATCCCAGGAGTCACATTGTAGAGAGCCAAGTGCATGGGGCTACAGGGAGACCCTGTCTTACAAAAACCACCCACCCAACCAACCACCCACCCAAACACGGGCTATGAACAGAGAAAGCGAAAGCTAAGATGACTTTCTGCAACATTATTTATAAGCTAAGAACAGAGCTACTGATAAAGTATGAATTGATGGAGAAATATGTACACAATGTGAGTAAAGAACTGACACCACAGTAAACACATTTCTTCTCTACAGAAGAGATTAAAATCCAAAGATAAAGGTACAAATATGTTTGAAGGTGAATGGTATGAAGAGCTGAACTTTATAAGCATTCTTAAGTGAAAAATTCATGTTTAAAAATTATCCTGTAAGTGTAAGAGAGGAAAGGACAACAGAAAAATAATACTAAGGTTATAAAGATTAGCATCACTAAGAGCACTGGACAGCTGGGGTGACGGCTCAGTCAGTGAAATGTTTCCTGTGCAATCACAAGGACCTAAGTTTAATCCTCCAGAACCATGGGGAAAAAAAGCTGGGTACAGTGGAATTTACCTGTAACCCCAATTCTGGGAAGGCTGAGACAGGAGGGTCTTAGGACTTGCTCAATAGCCATTCAATCAAAGAGGTGAGCTCCAGATTTAGTGAGACCTTGCTCTCAAAAATAAGGTGGAGAGCAATTGAGGAAGATACCCCAAGTCTACCTCACCCTTACACAGGTGCATATGTACCCATACACAGATAGAGACACAAAGGCATATAAACACACACACACACACACACACACACACACACACACACACACGAGTACTGCAGAATGGATGTCTAAAGTTACAAGTCTCAACTTATGAATAATATATGGTGTATTGTTTAGGCCAATATCCTGTTAGATCAGAAGACATTTTAAAAAAATACCCACAAGTCTAAAGGTGTAAGAATACTACATATGCACAAGATCTCCAGCTATTTATCCCCTAGACACATCTACCAATTCTGATTGTGGGCTTAGGAAGAGAAACTGTTGGAGAAACACAAACCAGCAGGTATAAACTGATCAATAGGGTTTGGAGTAACAAATAGAAAATGTAGATTTTAAAGGAAAAACTGTTTTTCTTTACCTCTGGACAGCACAGGGAGATAGAAACTGCTATTAAAGCTTGCTAGGATGTTCTTGCTTGATTTCTCCATCTAGAACTTCCAATGTATGCATGTGCAGAAATATCACACTATACACCATAATTATACAATTAGGTACAATTATTATCATTAAAATTGTTTAAAGGTAAAGTTAATTCTCCAGTAGCCTCACTGGTTTACATGCAAAGTACCTCCTGAAACGGTCCAGCCTTAATTAAATATATAGCCAGTTTCCCACTTAAAATATCTGTTAAAGTTTGGGCTGAGTGAGTGGTGAGCTGGGCTAGAGTTCTCTAAAAGACAGGACTGCAGCTCCCATACTTTCTCAAGTTCAAAAAACAGAAAGCTAAAAGGTTCATAGCTGGTAAACTGAAATGCCCACACCTGAGGAGTAGAGACAATGACAGAGGAATAAATCTACTAAAACTAAAATAAACATGGGTCGGTACCACCCATGCTAAGGAGGAATCATAAGGTCCTCACTTCTTCTGCATAGAAATAAACAAGAAATCATTATGAAGGAGCACCACCTAGAGTTTCTATAGCTCTTTTATACACGTCACATAAGCAATACTTGACAAGCAATAAAGTAACAATCTACCACTGATGAAAACAAGATACCTGAAAAAAGACCCAAAGACGATTCAGATAATAGATTATGGTGTTTAAAATTTCAGCATGCTTAAGAGAAAAATAAAAACAAAATATTTCAGTATATAAATCTGTGAAATGTATTAGATGATGGAAGACATAAATGAAAAACTGTCAAAATGTGTTACGGCATGAATATGGCTCACTGAAAGTAAAACTAATGTTGAAAATCCCCCAGTGTGACAGTGTTGGATGATAGGACCCATTAGGTATGTTTGACTCATGAACAGATTAATTTTTGAGTTCTCAACTTTCACAGAGCTGCTAGAGGAGGTGGTTATAAAAATTAGTTCCGTTTCCTCAAATTTCTCATCACATGACTCCCTCTGCTTTCCACCATGAAACCTTTGCTAGACAATGAACAGATGAAGAAACTGGATCATGGGCTTTCTAAGCCAACTGAACTACAAGCCAGCATAAAGGACTTTTACTTATGTTATTATACACAGTCACAAGTAGTTTATTAGAGCAACAGGAAACAAAGACACTGCAAAACACTTTTTTTCAATGAGGACTATGAAAGCAAGAAGGGCTTGGACTGATGTCCTACAAGTCATGAAGTAACACATCAGTCCAGACTACTATGTCCAGCAAAACTGTCAGTTGTAACTGAAGAAGAGAAATTTCCAATGATATAAACAGGTTTAAGGAATCTAGATCTACTAAGCCAGC